ATAATAGGAGGCTTCCAGTATATAATAAGAGGCTTACAATATATAATAGGAGGCTTCCACAGTTTATAATAGGAGGCTTCCACAGTTTAAATAGGAGGCTTCCAGTTTCATAGGAGGCTTCCACAATATATAAAAGGAGGCTTCCATAGTTTCTAATAGGAGGCTTCCACAGTATATAATAGGAGGCTTCCACAGTTTTATATAGGAGGCTTCCATAGTATAAACAGAGGCTCCATAGGTTTTAATAGGAGGCTTCCACAGTATATACAGGAGGCTTCACAGTTTATAATAGAGGCTTCCACAATATAAATAGGAGGCTTCCTAGTTTCACAGGAGGCTTCCACAGTATATAACAGGAGGCCCACAGTTTATAATAGGAGGCTTCCATAGTATATAATAGGAGGCTTCCATAGTTTCTAATAGGAGGCTTCCAAAGGTTTATACTGTATTTTCCCGAAACGTATACGACCCTCCCCCATATACAACCCCTCCCCATATACCCGACCCTCTCCCCCATATACAACCCCCTCCCCATATCCTCCTCCCCCATATACACGACCCTCCATATACGAGACCCCCATTTACTACCCTCCCCATATACGACCCCGTCCCCATATACACTCTCCCCTCATTCCAACCCTCCCCATATACGACCCCCCATTTACGACCCTCCCATTTACGACCCCTCTCCCATATACGACCATATACGACCTCTATACCCCCATATACGACCCCATTTATGACCCCCTCCCCATACACGACTCCTCTATACACGACCGCCTGCTGGTGAATAAACAAGACACTGAGAGAACCATTCCTGGTTAACACCGTCTGGCAACCTTGATATATGTGAGGCTGGTGAGTCCGATCTTCCCTGTCTACTGTATATGTGATGATCTTGTGAACCCCGTAGACAGACAGACAGACAGAGACAGACAGACAGACAGACACACAGACAGACAGAGACAGACAGACAGACAGACAGACATGGCCTTCCCTGTCTACTGTATATGTGATGATCTTGTGAACCCCGTAGACAGAGACAGAGAGACAGACGGACAGATAGACACTCGCAATACACCAAACAAGAACACATTATTAGACGGACGGGAAGACGGACGGAAGACGGACTTAAGTACTTATGAATCAAACAGGAACATAGACAGGGAAGATGAGACAGACACTAAGCAGGATGTTCCTCATTTCAAGTACAGATAAGTGACAGACAAACAGACAGACAGACAGGAAACTAGAATATAAAGAGCCTACCGTTTAGGTGTACTGTCCAGGTGTATCATTAAGAAGTACTGCCCAGGTGAGTGAGATTACCTGGTGAGTGAGAGGTTACCTGGTGAGTGATCGTGAGAGGTTACCTGGTGAGAGAGAGGGAGAGGTACGGTGAGAGAGAGTGAGAGGTTTCCTGGTGAGTGAGCGTGAGAGGTTACCTGGTGAGAGAGAGGGAGAGGTTACCTGGTGAGTCAGAGGTTACCTGGTGAGTGAGAGTGAGAGGTTACCTGGTGAGTGAGAGTGAGAGGTTACCTGGTGAGAGAGAGAGGGAGGTCACCTAGGTGGCTGCCTATTGATTACCAGCAGAGCGGCCTCTGTGTGTGTGTGTGTGTGTGTGTGTGTGTGTGCTGAGAATTCATCTAGTTGGTGGAGAGTCACCTAGCTAACTGAAGTCATGTAGTTGGCTAGGAGAGTCCCCTAATTGACTAGGGAGGGGTCACTTGGCTGGCTGGAAGAGTCACCTAACAGACAGGAAGGTACCTAGCCGGCTGAGGAGTCACCTGGTTGGTCGAGAGTGTCACGTAAGTACTTGGGGAGTTACTTAATCACCTGGATAATCGCCTGACCACCCGGACGGTCACCTAACAACCACAATGACGGAGGCGGAGTAATAACCTTCAACAACCTCCCAGTATCACCCCACGTTCAGCAAACAGTAATCCGTTTGGCTGAACACGGATTAACCACCACGAACACACGCAGGCAGGGCGCGGCCGTGGAGGCTCTCCTGGGAAAAGATATATTTTTCTTTAAAAGGATCGCAGTGGACTTAGTCTATCCTGTATTTAACAATAAATCTTATACACGCATTTCTACTTTCGTTCATCGACGGAGTTTTGGTGAGTTTGTCCTTGTGGATCGACCCGTGTGTAAAGTCAGCTCAAGGAGTGTGTGATGTCAGCTCAGGGAGTGTATGAAGTCAGCCCAAGGAGTGTGTGTGAAGTCAGCTCAAGGGAGTGTGTGAAGTCAGCTCAAGAGAGAGTGTGATGTCAGCTCAGGAGTGTGTGAAGTCATCACAGGGAGTGTGTGAAGTCAGTCCAGGGAGTGTGTGTGAAGTCAGTTCAAACGAGTGTATGAAGTCAGCCCAGGGAGGTGTGAAGTCGATTTCAAGGAGTGTGTGAAGTCAGCTCAGGTGTGTGTGTGTGTGAAATCGTCTCAAGGAGTGTGTGAAGTCAGCTCAAGAGAGTGTATGTGAAGTCAACTCAAGGGAGTGTGCGAAGTCAGCTCAGGGGAGTGAAATTAAGCGTTGGCGACGTCACTGATCCATCCTGAAGCTTCAAAGGGAAACTGTAGGTAGAACTTTATAGGTAAACATTGACTCACTATCATGTATCGTTAGGTAGTGCGGGGAGGAGTCTACAGGTGTTCCCTCTCTCTGCTGTCTAACTACATCTGTCTATTTCTGTTGTTTACCCCCCTTCCCTTTCCTCTCTCCTTCCACCAACATATATATTAACGTCCTCCGTCAGAGCTGCGGGGGGTCGACGCCTGAGCTACGGTCCAGGAAGTTGGTGAGTCAGGTGACCTGCACGGTAATTACAGGTAGAAGTAGCCCGTCGTCGCCTCCTCCTGGCTGGCTGGCTGGCCCCCTCCGCTAACGCTACGCCGGGATGTGGCCGGATTACACGCGTCGACGGTGGCGTAGCGGCGCATACAGCGTGTTGAACCTCTAAGACGACGAGGAAAAGATGTTTACGTATCAGTAGCATAAGACAAAAGGTCGCCTGGCCACGTGGAGGTGTGGGAGGAGGGAAGGAGGTGAGTGAGGGAAGGGGTGGAAGGGTTGTTGCATGCAAGACGAATCAACAGTTGCGTCAATAGCCTCGACAGTTAGAGATATAAGCCGGTGTTTATACGGGGTGCCGTGGGGTTGAGTGGACTGATGGCCGCCCACTGTGCTGCTGGACTACTCGTCGCAACAACACTACCGTACTGGCATTCCCCTTCACCCTTGAATAATACGTTTATGCATGTTAAGCTAGACGAAGGTTCGCCCGCATTCTGCCTGCAGTGGTGGTGATGTGTTATAGCCAGTACACGAGAACTCTAGGGGCGACACATAATCCCTTAACCTGGACACGACAACTGTTGAGACACTACAGGTTAAAGGCGACATCCTGCACCTCCTCCACACCAAGAGGATCACCGCCGGGTATAAACTTACATTAGTCTATCTGTCCAGAGCAACATGTAAGCAATTTACTAGAGCCTCTCTGAAGAATAAACAGACAGAGACAGACAGAGAGAGAGACAGACAGCAAGGAGAGTGGTTGGGCTGACAGATGTAGAACGTGACAAAGATGCAGTATATCAGCTCACTTTTAGGGTTAAATAAATGAAGGTCTCGGTCTGGTGTACAGATGACTCCGCCTACACCTGGTGAGGGAAGGGATATTCTCACCACCAACAAGGACCCCAGCAGACCCCAGCAGACACCAGCAGACACCAACTGACACCAGCAGACCCCAACAGACCCAACAGACCCCAGCACAAGTCTCATGGGAGCCACAACAGTATCCAGAAGGCCCCTGAAGGCCCTAAATCTACCAGGAAAGATTTAAAGAGGCCCTAAATTGTGCGTGAGGTCCTTAAAAGTCTTAAAGAGAGTAATGCCAGAGAGGGTCTTTGATCAGCACAAACTCCAGTAAGTCCCAGAAAGAGTGACTAACTTTACCATGTAGCGAAGTTTGGTGAAGGTGAGGACACTAACACCATCCTCTGACACCATCCTCTGACACCATCCTCCGCCACCACTGACACTAACACCACCACTGACACCATCCCTCTGACACCACCACACCATCCTCCGCCACCACTGACACCGTCCTCCGCCACCACTGACACCGTCCTCCGCCACCACTGACACCATCCTGCCACCACTGACACCATCCTCCGCCACCACCACCAAGCCTACACCCTGAACCACCACCACGACCACCTCTGACACCCTCTTCCACCACTACCACCACCCCTGACACCCCTCTTCCACCACTACCACCACCCCTGACACCCTCTTCCACCACTACCACCACCCCCTGACACCCTCTTCCACACACCACTACACACCCTGACACCCTCTTCATCCACTACCACACCCCTGACACCCACCACCACATGTACCCCAGTCAGCCATGAATACTCGTAATTACATCAATAAACTTATGAGTCAACTTGGCAACAAAACTCCGTGTTAGTTGTTCCGCCTCCACCAGGAAGGTCTCTAAACGAGGTGGACTCTTGCACTCCTCGCTGCCACCAAGTGTATTAAGTTTTGTCTCCACTGTTCAAGGACGGTACTTGTCCCGTCCGTGTGTCAGTCTGTCCGTGCGTCCAAAACATAACGATAACAAATAACCACAAATCTTCAACTTAACTTTATTATGTGGATATTCATAAAAAGATCTTACAAGAGGTTTATTATAATCCAACTTTCTGTCTCACCCATTTATAGAGTTATGGCTTCTTGGACTTTATTGTGGCGCAGCGAGGACTTGACGGCTACTAGTGTGAGACCTTTGTCGGGCGGGATCCTGCAGGTAACCCGACATTTGCTTCTGGTGTTCTATTGGTTAAGTGTTCCTGAAGCCTCAGTGAACGTGACAGGCAAACAGGCCCTTATCCCTATCTTTTGGAAACACACACACACACACACACACACACACACACACACACACACACACACACACACACACACACACAGACAAACAACAAACAACTGGGGAACAAGCGTAGGTCGGGGAGTTTCTGCCCAGGTGTCAAGCTTAGATTAGCTGCCCTGCTTTTGTTGGTGGGCCCCTCCTGTGTTGGTGGCCCTCTTGCATTGGTGCCCCCTCCTGTTGGTGGGCCCTCCTGTGTAGGTGGCCCTCTTGCATTGGTGCCCCCCTCCCTGTGTTGGTGGGCCCCTCTGTGTAGGTGGCCCTCTTGCATTGGTGCCCCCTCCCTGGTTGGTAGGCCCCCTCCCTGTGTAGGTGGCCCTTGCATTGGTGCCCTCCTGTGTTGGTGGCCCTCCGTGTGGTGGCCTCTTGCATTAGGTGCCTCCAGGTTGGTGGGCCCCTCCTGTGTAGGTGGCCCTCTTGCATTGGTGGCCCCTGTGTTGGTGGCCCCATGTGTTGGTGGCCCTTGTGTTGGTGGCCCTGTGTTGGTGCCCCCTGTGTGTAGGTGGCCCTCTTGTTGGTGGCCCCCGTGTTGGTGGCCCTCTTGTGTTGGTGGCCCTCTTGTGTTGGTGGCCCCCGTGTTGGTGGCCCTCTGTGTTGGTGCCCCGTGTTGGTGGCCCCCTGTTGGTGGCCCCCTGTAGGTGGCCCTCTGCATTGGTGGCCCCTGTGTTGGTGCCCCCTGTGTTGGTGGCCCTCTTGTGTTGGTGCCCCCCCTGTGCTGGTGGCCCCTGTGTAGGTGGCCCCTTGCATTGGTGGCCCCTGTGTTGGTGGCCCCCTGTGTTGGTGGCCCCTGTGTTGGTGGCCCTCTGTGTTGGTGCCCCCCGTGCTGGTGGGCCCTCCTGTGTAGGTGGCCCTCTTGCATTGGTGGCCCCCCTGTGTAGGTGGCCCTCCCAGGGTGGCCTCTTGCATTGGTGGCCCCTGTGTTGGTGGCCCCCGTGTTGCAGGGCCCTGCTGTTGGTGGCCCCCCTCATGTGTTAGTGGCCCTCCCCTGTAGGTGGCCCTCTTGTGTTGGTGGCCCTTGTGTAGGTGGCCCTCTTGTGCTGGTGGCCCTCATGTGTCAGGGCCCCCTCATGTGTTGTGCCCTCCTGTGTAGGTGGCCCTCTTGTGTTGGTGGCCTCTTGTGTTGGTGGCCCTGTGTTGGTGGCCCCATGAGTAGGTGGCCTCTTGTGTTGGTGGCCCCCCTGGGTTGGTGGCCCTGATGTTGGTGGCCTCCTGTGTTGGTGGCCCCCTTCCCTGTGTTGGTGGCCCCATGAGTGGTGGCCCTCTTGTGTTGGTGGCCCCCTCTGTGAGGCCCCATGTTGGTGGCCCTCTTGTGTTGGTGGCCCCCTGGGTTGGTGGCCCCATGTGTTGGTGGCCCTCCTGTGTTGGTGGCCCCTTCCTGTGTTGGTGGCCCCATGAGTAGGTGGCCCTCTTGTGTTGGAGGCCCCCCTGGGCTGGTGGCCCCATGTGTTGGTGGCCCTCTTGTGTTGGTGGCCCCTGAGTTGGTGGCCCCCACCCCCTGTGGGTGCTGGTGGGCCCCACCTGTATTGATGAATAATATCAGTAGTAGTGGTGGTGGTGTTAGTAGTGATAGTAATAGTGGTGGTGGTGGTGGTAGTGGCAGTAGTACAGTGTGTGGTGGTGTTAGTAGTAGAGTGGTGGTGGTGCAGTAGTAGTGGTGGTGGTGGTGGTGGTAATTAATAGGTGGTAGTAGTAATAGTGGTGGTGGTGGTGGTGTTATAGTAGTGGTGGTGTGGTGGTGGTGGTGTTAGTAGTAGTAGTGGTGGTGGTGGTGGTGGTGTAGTAGTAGTGGTGGTGGTGGTGGTGGTGTTAGTAGTAGTAGTGGTGGTGGTGGTGGTGGTGTTAGTAGTAGTGGTAATAGTAATAGTGGTGGTGGTGTTGGTAGTAGTAGTGGGTGGTGGTGGTGGTGGTGGTGGTGTTAGTAGTAGTGGTAGTAGTAATAGTGGTGGTGGTGGTGGTGGTGGTGTTAGCAGTAGTTAAAGTAGTGAGTAGTGGTGGTGGTGGTGTTAGTAGTAGTGGTGGTGGTGGTGGTGGTAGGTAGTAGTAGTGGTAGTAGTAATAGTGGTGGTGCGTTAGTAGTAGTGGTGGTGGTGGTGGTGTTAGTAGTGGTGGTGGTGGTGTTAGTAGTAGTGGTGGTGGTGGGGTGTTAGTAGTAGTAGGTGGTGGTGGTACGGTTGGCCAGTAGATGGTTTGCCTCCAATGCGTGTGTGTGGCTCTTCCATGATGGCGATCACGCCATGGTTCGCAAGAAGGGGGCTCATATGCATGAGGCATGACGAGGTATGGATCTCACAGCAAATATGTTGAAGGAAATCGCCGACGTCAGGTAGAACTGACCTCCTTCCGATGGCGAGATTCCAACACAGGACTTCAAACACATCTAACGAAGCCCGTGTGGACGTCATGCTCGAGGATTCTGGACGGGGACAGCGAAGCTTTCTTCGACATCAGGATTTTTGATCCCATGGCCGTTTGTCACCGTAACCTAGCTCTCGATGCTGCACATAGGAGGAAACGAGAACGACAAGAGAAGAGGCATATGGGGAGAGAATTCAAAACGTTGATCAAGGCAGCTTCACTCCTCTAGTGTTCACAACCCTCTGGTGGGATGGCCCAAGTGCAAGATGTTTCTACGCCAGACTCGCGGAGTTGATCTCCGAACAGAAGCAGCAGCCCGAAGTTATGTTGCAGCCTGGATGAGATGTCGACTGTCCTTCTCTCTCCTTCGGTCGGCTTTGCTCTGCCTCAGGGAACGAGAGCTTGCCCCTACTCCACAACTGCTGCAGATAATGACTATGAGGCTAAAGTCACCGAATGCCGCATAGATCTGCGGCTCAACTAAGTTAACACAGATAGGATAGCTTCTATGTATTAGGTATTTAATATTAAGGTAATAAATGGTGGCGAAGGTGTGGCTATTGGGGAGGCTGGAGCACACTATTAAAAAAAAAAAAAAAAAAAAATAGTGGTTGTGGTGTTAGTAGTAGTGGGTGAGTGGTGGTGTTAGTAGTAGTGGTAGAAGTAATAGTGGGAGATTTTTGAAAAAGTAGCTATTGCGCAGGAGGTGGGCGCTCGAACTGGTTAACTACGCCGATAAGGGCAAATGGTTTCAGTCTCAATAAACAAGAATTTACAGTTGCCAATGCTCTAAGATACGGTAGGCCAGTAGAAGGTTTGCCTCCTAATGTGTGTGGTTCTTCCTATGACGTCGATCACGCCATGGTGCAAGAAAGGGGGCTCTTATATGCATGAGGCATGACGAATTAATGATCTCACAGCAATTATTGTTGAAGGAAATCTGCCGTGATGTCAGGGTTGAACCGACCTCCTTCCATTGACGGTGAGATTTTTCCAACATAGGACTTCAAACACATCTAACAAAGCCTGTGTTGACATCAGTGCTCGAGGATTCTGGACGCGGGAACAGCGAGCCTTTCTTCGACATCAGGACTTTTGATCCCATGGCCGCATGTCACGGTAACTTGCCTCGATGCTGCACACAGGAGGAACGAGAACGACAAGATAAGGGCATACGGGAGAATTCAGAACGTTGATCAAGGCAGCTTCACTCCTCTGGTGGGATGGGACCAAGTGCAAGATGCTTCTACGCCAAACTCCAAACTCGCAGAGGTGATATCCGAAAGAAGCAGCAGCCCAGAAGTAGTGCTCCAACCTGATGAGAGGTCGATGTCCTCTCCTTCGGTCGGCTTTGCTCTGCCTCAGGGGAACGAGAGCACGGGACCCCAAAGCCGACAACAGTTGCAGATATTGACTAATGAGGCAACAGTCACTGAATACCGCATAGATCTGCGGCTCAACTAACTCCAACACAGCCAGGATAGCTACTATGTATTAGGATATTTAATATTAAGGTAATAAAATGGTGGCGAAGGTATGGCTATTATTGGAGGAGGCTGGAGGCAGCATAGTGGTGGTGGTGGTGTTAGTGGTAGTAGTAATAGTGGTGGTGGTGGTGTTAGTAGTAGTGGTAGTAGTAATAGTAGTGGTGGTGGTGGTGTTAGTAGTAGTAATAGTGGTGGTATGTCTCAGGTCATCGACCTAAAGTTTGACAAGAATATGGGAGAAGCCTGCAAAGGAGGGAGGGAGGGAGGAGGGGAGGGAGGAGGGGAGGGAGGAGGAGGAGGAGGAGGAGGAGAGAAGAGAGAGGAGGAGGGAGAAGAGGGAGGGAGGGAGGGAGGAGGGAGGAGAGGGGAGGGAGGGAGGGGAGGAGGGAGGGAAGAGGAGGGGAGGGAGGGAGAAGAGAGAGGGGAGGGAGGGAGGGAGGGGAGGAGGGAGGAGGGAGGGAGGAGGGAGGGAGAGGAGAGAGGGGAGAGAGGGAGGGGAGGGGAGGGAGGGAGGAGGGAGGGAGGGAGGAGGAGGGGAGGGAGGGAGGGAGGGAGAGAAGAGAGAGGGAGGGAGGGAGAGAAGAGGGAGGAGGGAGGGGGAGAGAAGATAGAGAGAGAGGAGGAGGGAGGGAGGGAGGAGGGAGGATGAGAAGGAGGAGGCTGGGAGGTGAGAATAAAGGTGGGATGAAATTAGGGTAAAGAATAAGTGAGATAAAAAAGACGGTGAGGAAAATTAGGCTTAAAATAGATGCAAGAGAGAGGAGAGAGAAAGAAAGAGGGAGGGGAGGGCAGAAGGGAGGGAGGGGAGAGTAAAAAGAAGAGAGGCAGGTCAAGGAAGATAGATGAGTGTGAAAGGAAGACGGAAGGGAAGATGGATGGCGGAGGAGGAAGGAGGAAGGGAAGGAGGAAGTAAAGAAGCAATGGCGGGGAAGACGGAGGAGAGGGGGAGGGATGGAAGAGAAAGGAGAAGATGATAATAATGGATCAACGATGAGAGAGAGAGAGAGAGAGAGAGAGAAAGAGAGAGAGAGAGAGAGAGAGAGAGAGAGAGAAGAGAGAGAGAGAGCAAAAAGCTGAGAGAAAAGAAAGAGAGAGAATGGAGATAAGGATATAAGCTACGAGAGAAAAAACCGAGAGAGAAAGAGAGAGAGGAGGAAACATTAGAGATAATCGCCCTTACGGAGAGAAAGTGAGCAATTAAAGTTCTCACGTCAAACAATTAAGTAGCACATGACTTTATACAGAGGAACACATTTGGCGAGCGTCTCCTGGCCCTGAGAGACCATTGGTGACCGTTTCTGGTCCTGAGAGACCATTTGACGACTGCTCATGGCTCTGAGACCATTTATGACCGTTTCCTGGCCCCTGAGAGACCATTTGGCGACCGTCTCTGGCCCTGAGAGACCATTTACACCGTTTCCTGGTCCTGAGAGACCATTACACCGTTCATGGCTCTGAGAGACCATTTGGCACCATCTCCTGGCACTGAGAGGCCATTTGACGGGCTGTTTACTGGCCCTGAGAGACCATTTGGCGAGCGTCTCCCTGGCCCTGAGAGACCATTTGACCACGTTTCCTGGTCCTGAGAGACCATTTGGCGACCGTTTCATGGCTCTGAGAGACCATTTGGCAACCGTCTCCTGGCCCTAAGAGGCCATTTGACGACCGTTTACTGGCCCTGAGAGACCATTTAAGGAGTGTCTCCGGCCCTGAGAGACCATTTATGACCGTTTACTGGCCCTGAGACCATTTGCAGCGTCTCTGGCCCTGAGAGACCATTTGGCGAATGTCTCCTGGCCCTGCGAGACCATTTGGCGACCGTTTCCTGGCCCTGAGAGACCATTTGGCGAGTGTCTCCTGGCCCGAAAGACCATTTGGCGACCAATTCTTACTTTTTGGGACCGATTTGTCGATCCTGTCTTGTTCCGGTATTTGGCGATCATCCCTAGCGTGACAGCTGGTCTATCCTGGAAATTTTTCAAAGCTGGTCCAGGTCACGACCATCTGGCCACCAGCTGATATACAGACGGCTCTGTTTACCCTAGCTGGTTGTTTCTTTCAGTACTTGACACTGATTGGTTAATTCCGTCGTTGTATAATGGATGGTTAATTCCTTCGTTGTAGCACTATTGGTTAATTTTGCCGTTGTGAGCACTGATTGGTCAATTCCGTCGGTAAGCACATGATCAATTACTGCGGCTCTAAATACTAACTGACCATTCCCACACTTGCAAACACTATGGTCACGCTACAAACATTGAATGGTCAATCGCTGGCAAACACTCAGTCACTCCCCACAGCATAAACACTGAGCCACGGGTCCATTAGTTTAGTCAAGACCATTAATTCCTCTCACTTCCACTTCCCTCACCCTCCTGACCCTTCCCTTACTCCCTTCCATCTCCTCACCCTGCCCCACCTATATGCCTTCCTCCCCACCCTGCCCACTGACCCCTCACCCACCCTGCCCACTGGACCCTCACCCACTGACTCTGAACCCCCAACGCCCACTACCAATATCTCTCCACCTCCCTCATAATACCTCTTTGCCCTGAGCTACTAATTGAACGTTTCCTCTCAGGATTTAACAACACTTCCTCT